GGTCTGTAGTTACGAATATGCTTGAATCACTTAATGTCTGGACAGAAGCTTCAGATAATAAGAGAGTTGATACAATCCACTTTGACTTTTGCTTTTGATAAAGCTTTTGATAAAGTCAGTCATACAAAGCTGATCTATAAAATGCGTAAGTTTGGATTTCATGATAAAGTGTACAAATGGATAGAGGACACCTCAGCGAGCGTAGTTATCAAGGTCGCATAGACAACTCTTTTTTGGAATTCCTTCATGCAATGAGCGGGGTTCCTAAAGGAGAGGTCTTATCCCCAATACTTTTCAAAGTATATTCTGCGGACTTGCCCATGATTTCCTCTCAGTAAGATGTTGTGTGTAAGTAGTATGCAGATGATTTGAAATTTTATAAAGTTATTGACTATCCTCTAGATGCCCATTCCCTACAGTCCTCCGTCAACAATCTCGTGAGGTGGTCTACAGGTTGGCAAATTCATCTGTCCTATACCGAACCCTTTCATACGNGTATATTCTGCGGACTTGCCCATGATTTCCTCTCAGTAAGATGTTGTGTGTAAATAGTATGCAGATGATTTGAAATTTTATAAAGTTATTGACTATCCTCTGGATGCCCATTCCCTACAGTCCTCCGTCAACAGTCTCGTGAGGTGGTCTACAGGTTGGCAAATTCATCTGTCCTATACCGAACCCTTTCATACGCACTTGGGTCCTCCTGGGTCGTCCGCTTACTTTATGGATACTAAGGAGATTTCTAAGGTAATTGAAGTTAAGGACCTAGGGTTCCTGTACAGTGATAAGCTTGACTTCTCGTCACATTGAAACCTAATCTGCAAAAAGGCGTACCACAGAACCTATCATATTTTCAAAGCTCTGACAACCAAGGGCACTAGAACACATATCTCGGTTTGCAAAACTTACATTCACCCATTAGTGGAGAATGGGACCGTGCTATTCTGCCCGCATAAAAAGAAGTATATTGCTCCAATTGGGAAAGTCCAAAATAAGGTCACCAGAAAAATCCTGATTTGTCGCGGTGGCTTTCTGTACTCTAGAATACCAATGACCGAGATACGGAACAAGTTTCATGATCTTACTTCTCTTCAGTCCAGACGAACTTTCTTTGACTTATGTATTATTCATGATCTGCTCAGCAAGAGATTCACGGTTGAAATTTCTCAGGTTTACAGCCTCATTTCATCTATGTATCACCAGGGGCGGCCAGCCCAAATTATCTTTTCCAAGATCTGAAAACTCCACCGGGCGCACTTTTTCACTGTCGGGCAGGTCTTTCATACTTGCATTTCAGCAAATTCAACTGCATCTCAGCCTTCGGGCGTCCCTCAAACGCTCGATAGCAAAACTCATACAAAACTCGTAGAGCAGGCATAGCTGGTACCATGTTTCCATTTCTAATCAAATTGCTGTTACTATTTCAGTCTCTGGTAATGCTGGTATTGTATTTGATGAGTCGTTTCTAACAATGTCTTATGCAACGTAATGCAAATAAACAAATAAATTCTTTTCAAGCTATTCGCTTAGGAACTGGCCATCCCTCTGGCTCATACTTTCAATATCTCCATGATTTTAGGCGAAGTTCTTCATTTGGAAACATGCTATAGTAACACTTATCCGAAAAATCAATGAGGCCAACAGGTGTCTTGTTCTCGACCGATAAGCGTCCTTCCCTCTCCACCCAAAGTCGGAGAAAATGGAGAGGAGCCCAAGTGGAGAAAATTCTACACAAATACTCGTTGGACTGGGTAGTGAAACAGCAAGCCTTCTTCCAGGAACAGTTCAGCATTGTACCAGCAACGTCCACCTGCATTCAGGTGATGGATATGGCTCTCACATGAATAAATGCCCTCAATCTAGGCAAAATGGTTGATGTTATCTACAATCATTTTCGTTTTTTAGCCATATCCCCAAAGTGGGGTGCTGTCCATCAGGAGTACCTCAAGGAGAGGCCCTTCGCCTCTTTTGTTTCTCAAATACACAAACGACCTTACCAAACTCGTTGAACCTATTACAGACTAAACGTTGCAGCTTAATCTGATGTCATCAAGCGCTCAGTTGCATATGAGGAGTAGGACCGGAATATGGCTCAGACTCTTTTGAATCTCGCTGTCGATAACGTGCTTGGGTGGTGTAATCTTGGGAATTAAAGATTAATCTTACGAAGACCCACGTGTTTTCATTAGAACCCTCCACGCTGGAGGTGCGCTTCTCTAATGGTTCACTTGTTGAGCGGTCAAAAACAGTCAAGGATTCAGTTTTACTAAAGGTTTGAAATGGTCCCGTCATATCGAATTGGTATCTAGTAAGGCTCAAGGTAGTACATGTATGTTGTTCAGCAATATCCACAGTTCCGCTTGGTTTATTCAAAAAACTTTCACAAGAGCCTGCTTATAGAGCTGATCCTGATTGTGAATACCCGCAAGCCCTACCGTCTCACCAATCTAGACTCAATTAACTGTATCATAAAAGTTTGTTTTACAGGCGCGTCCAGTTAGATTTGGTCCCGGCTTTCAAGGTATTCAGAAGCGAACTACGGGTTAAACCTTCCGAATACTGGACGTTTCGACCAACTGACGGACGAAGAGGCACCTTTCGAATACATAACCACAGAATGGGCAGATGGCATCAATATCGAGAGAAAATTGTTTAATTGTACACACTCAAACTCGTGGATGGTGTCTCTACCTTCACATTTTTTGGCATCTAGAAATTCAAGGCACTTCAAAGGCTTGAATAAAGAAGTCAATATCTTGGAATAGTTATGCATTGCTTATTACTTTTCTTTTACTTTTTTTATTTCCCTCTGACAACCCGGCTAATCTTGAGATTAAAAACACGTTTGATCCTTTTCTAGAAGCATGTTTTGTATTGGTATAGGGAGGTTAAGCTGTCTGCACACGACCTCCGCGTCTCGTTGTGGTCCAAGCATTCACTTGCCTTGCTTGCCTATCCGAGAGGGTGATCAGCATACCCATGGCTCAAGGTTGCAAGAGCAAGTGCCTATGACCTCGGGTGTGGCGAGGGGGTACCATAGCCGACTGGTGTAGGTTTGCGCAATGTTGCGGGCCATGTGGTGCAGGGGTCGTGGATGTTTGCTGCAAGCTTCTTCTCCCTACGCCAACGGGCATGCGCGTATGACAGACCCTGACGCCAAGCACCTTTTTTTACATTCATGAACATACCTCTCCAACGTGGGCATAAATAAGCAACCATGATCCGCTTGCATGGTGAATCCTGCAGTGTCATATGTCAAACATTCCTGTTTGCGCTTCTTTAGGTCCTCAATGGCTTCGTTCCTGATCCCGATGTCGAGTTATTTTGTTTTTTTAAAAATACACCTTTCATGTTTTTTGTTAGATTTATATTTTCTTAACGTGTTGCCAACTCCTTCTAATGTAGGAATTTTGTCTCGAGTCTTTGCCGTGTAGGAGCCTCTGCCGTCGTAGCTCTCCACTCTTCATAAATAAATAAATAAATAAATAAATAAATAAATAAATAAACAAATGAACCGGAAGACCTCTACGCAAGTTACCGGACGTGTAAACAGTTCTGATTTCTCAAAATACTGCTATCTCTGAGCTTCATTTAAACTTACTGTCGTTTTGTGTACTTTTCGAAGCCCTTTGCTCTTCACTTTTATTGGTGAGCTTTCGATGCCTTCGTTAGACCTCAATTGTTTGCAATACATTGCTGCATACAATCTGTCACTATCGTGTCGTGTCGATACTGCACTTCTGAGAACATCTGTGAACTTCAGGGCATCGTCTATTTGATTCAATGTGGAGTGTGGAGAAAAGTACGTGGGGGAGACCGCGAGACCGCTGAAGATCCGTCTGGACGAACATAGAAGAGCGTTGGCCAATCCCGCTGCCTATCCACACAGCAGTTTTTCCAGGCACCTCAGGCATGAGAAAGAAAGCGCTTCATCCTTTGTTGTGAGGGTTTTGCATCGATATTTGGTACGGCCACTGGAAAGGAAAATCATGGAGGCACGGGAAATATAGGAGTTGCGTGACTTACTGAGACTGATTGAGTGATAACACTTAGTCGCCTCAGGACAAGAGCGGTGTCCATTTTCCCTTTGAGTTCCCCGCCGACAGGTCCATTTCCCCTTTTCCTCAACATTTCCGGTTGACTTGGTATGATTCGATGTGTTTTGTATTGTAACTGATAGTGACAGATTGTATGCAGTAATGTATTGTAAATAATTAAGGTCTGACGAAGGCATTATTTGCCGAAAGCTCACCAATAAAAGTGAAGTGCAAAGAGCTTCGAAAAGTACACAAAACGACAACAAGTTCTGATTTCGTCAAAATCCGTCGTCAAATTGTCGATACAGTCGTCGAGGTCCTCACAAGATTCATGATAGGATGTTACGCTTTATATCGTGTGTGAGTGGAGAAATCGAGAGTGTCAGTGTCAGGCTCGAGCTTTTTCTCATACGATCACTACTCATACTTTCTGAACTCTTCCGAGCCTTCCGATTGCAAGGCATAAGGTCGAACCTGAAGTATGGAGGATGATGATAAACAGTCAACAGGAAGATGATGTTAGGAACCTATCAACTGCAAGCAGCTGGTATAGGCTCTACTCGACAAGCCTGACATTTAGAAGGATTGATCTTCCAACTTACGGGAATGCGGTGACACACTCAAACAAGAAAATATTCAAGAAGACCGCTAATTCCGTGCCCAGCTACTTGCAGAGAAAAGAATCACAACCAAGCTTCATCTCTAACTTGATCACACATTCGGCTGCCTCGCAATCATCAGAACAAAACATCGACGGCGACAATGGTAGAATGGAAGCGATGAAGAACTACAGATAGAGAACAACCTTGATCGTCGATGATGACGCGCAGATGGACAACGAAAGTGACACCTAAGCCTGCAATGAAGAGCAAGGGAATGGCAACGAAGATGAGGCCGAAGCCAGTAATAAACATAAAGGAATGATCCTGAAGAATAATGTGAAAAGCGTCGCGTAGTAAGGGAATGGTTGCGAAGAGGAAGAAAAAGGCCCTCTCTCTGCGGGGTGAGAGAGTTCAATATCCAGTCCAGCAAGCTTGTGACGAGATAGCCGAATTGCAGCAGCAACTACGACAAGCTATACAAGCACTACGCAACTTTCGAATGACGATCAATGAATTTGAAAGTAGGCAGCGATGTAAGACACAAGAAATCGGAGGAGCAATCCAAAACCCCAACAAGCATTTCATGCAGTGCACTTTTGCGAACGAAGAGGGGATCTTTATTCTGATTCGTGTTCAGGATACATGTTCACGAAAGGAGGAAAGGAACGCGTCATTCGAGCGCAACTATGCACTAATTGCCTCTGCTACAACTGTCCAAGAGGGCAGCGATGCAGAAACGCAACACGAGATGCTACTACTGCGATTGCAGTGGGCTCCATTCTGCGCTATGTACCTTTCCAGAAAAGAGCGTATTTGTATATTATATTATATTTGGAACTACTAAGCGACATTACAATGGCGCCCTCATCCGTGTGCTCAGATTGCAAACAGTGCTCGATATGTATATGAAACTGTCAACACTTTCATCATAAATTAGGTGTAATTTTTTTGACACAGAAAAGACCCCATAGAATCGGAAGAACTTCGGAAAGGACCGACTATCTGTGCTCTTTCTTGGAATGTTGGAGAACACCACCTGCACACTCCAAATATAAGCGTCTGACACTCTTCATAATCGATTTGTATATATCCTATTCTTTCGGTTTGTCGACGTGTGTGTGTCGGTATGTATTTGACTGGAAATTAGCAACTCCTTTTCCCATGGACCTAGAGCTTTGAACTTTGGTTGGAGTACAGGCGGCAGAATGGGAACGCTTGTGGCATGCGGCATGATCGGACTCCGCCCACGGTAGGCGGGGCGTGCGCGATAGAAAATTTCGACCGGAAGTTCATAAACAAAAACAAATTAGCGAGTTTCTTGTTTTGTTTTACACACGTAAAAAAGACATTGCAATATTCAGGTTAGTCCAAATCTTTCTAAGGGTGCCATTTCAGCAAAGTAAAACGGATTAGGTTGTCGATGTTCTTCCAGTGACATTTTCCTCGTTTTCGTCTGTCAGGGCAGACAGCACTGCCAGTTATGGGTTCAACAGCATCAGCTACATCAAAAATATGATGAATTGATTTAATGTGTATACCTTTACCTTATTCTACTCAGGAATGAGATGAAACCAACAGAAAACAAAAAAGAATTAGAGTGCAGTATGGAGCATTATCACTTATACAATATGTACTACATCGCAAATTGGAACTGGGTGAGCAGTCCTTACTTGTATCGTTTTAAATTAACAATTTTATCCAATCTTGTATGGTGTAATAGAAATAAGGGTTTCCAAGGAATCTGTATAGTCGTTTTTTTAGTTACGCATACACTTTTCCCACCACTGCGAATGTAAGGGCTCCCTACTTATGCGTGAGTAAACTCTTTCTCACCAGAAATGGAGTTTGCCCGCCGTTTTTGGCAGATTTGCACATGAAATTGGAGACTTCCGGTGAGACCAAAGAGCATCGGGAGGGCTGCTGAGGTACTTGATAACCTTTGCCCGATTTCTTTCGCATAGCTTGCTTTAGAACAAGTCTGCTACCAGACCGATTACATTCTTGTGGTTCTCTAGCACACTTCTTTCTCCACTTGAGCACTCTTACTTCAGAAACATTATTTATAATCACTACAACTGAAAAGTTGTCAACATTAAATTAACGTTAGGTAGAACATCCAAAAAACCAAATTATGTTCATCTGTAGAGTGAGAAAAACAGGAAACTATGTTTATCCGTAGAGGAGAGGAAGACAAGAAAAGCAGCAATAACAAAGTTTTTGTTTCCTGAGACTATCAGTAACACCATAATAATTTTTATATTATATCACAGGATAATGTGGTGGAATAGCAAGAGGCGCCAATAAACGCATTGAATCCTCGATAGGTACTTGCCCAAGCCAGCAAAGCCTATCATATCTACGGAGTCACTAAATTGGTATCAGGCTAATCCTAATCTGGGAGAGTCAAAAACTACCTTTTAAGAGGGATTTTATAGGCCACATACGCATTCGAGAACGCCAACACGACTCTGAATGAAAGTCGAATGCGGGGCGTATCCCAAAACGGGCTTGATTGACGTCAAAGACTCTCATATTTAACTGATAGTATTTACTATCGCTATAGCTGATCAGGAACTAATCGACCGGCAAAGTTGGCCAGCCACTAGTCACTGAATTCGCCATCGCTTTGAACTACGGGCCTCACGATGATCTTGGACTTTACTGGAAACCTCTGCCACGGTGACAGAAATCGAGGTAGATGACATATCCTTCCATGTACCGTGGTGTCTGCAAGGACGTCATGCTGTACATTTAATCTTTCTAGCAATAGCAAAAGCAATTTACTTTACAACAGAGTCACATAATCGTTCTCAAAGTGAAAAGCAGTGATGCGTGAACTACCGACAGCTATCCATCATTCTACAGTTCTACATCCTTTTGAAAGCAAGTATGTCATGCTAATAGCGTGTAAAAGTTAAAAAGTAAAGGGTAGCTGTCAGTCAGACTCCCTTTAGCAAATGAAGTGCAATTCATAATATTCAAGCAATATTTAATTCACAATCCATCAGTCGCCCTTTCTATTTTTTTTTTGCTAAAATTGGGTAATTAAACTCACGTACAGGATAGAGAATAAGATGAGAATCAACTGAATGAGTGTTCATTCTGTCAACAGAGAGTTGATGACATGTCAATTTCCTTTTCGAATGGACATGACCAGCTAGTTTAACTGATTGAGGTCTCTCTTGGCTTGTGAATTTCGTCAACACTTTGCCCATGTCTACTTCTCCAATGAATATTTTAGATGTTGCCGTGATTTCGTGCAATCTTGCTAATCGAGCTCCTTTTCTCATCAGTAGCTTTTCACAGCTTTTCGCATCCCATTTGCAGTTTTGTTATGCCTGCAAAGTTTCGGAAGTAACTAAAGAGCATTGAATCCTTAAAAAGCATAGTACTCCACGTAACATTGCTCTCTGTTCTGGATATTTGATTTCTAAATGGGGTTCTTATTCAAATTTCGATGAGCCAATACCCATTTGTTTTCACTCCTTCCCCTACGCCCCTGTAGTCGTGGGCAATGTTGTCCAATGTTGCACATTTGCGTTGCTCAGGACTAAACAGGGTGGTCTGCAGCGTGCAAAGCATGATGTAATAGGGAGGAAGTGTGAAACCTTCTTCTCCTCCTGACCTCATGAGTTCGTCGGTTTGTTATTTGAAATAATATGATGACTAACAGGCACGAGTATTGCAAGGGAGGGGAGAAGGGAGTACAAAAGTCCCCACAGGATGTATGGGAAAAGGGAGAGGGGAAAGGGAGGGAAGGGTTGACGGAAGCTCAGTCAATGGGATTTCTAATGCTCTGTGCACGTGAAGTATATCCGATAGGTTCAAGCTCCCATCGTTATGTCTGATCAGTGAGGGTTACAGGTTAGTTTTTCGTCTGCACTGCTATACTTACCGCAAGGTCCTGACAACTCCGACTCAGCTACAACTCGTAATACCTACCCAATGTAAACCAGAATGATCTGGAAGACCTTTTTGTAGCCTCATTTGACTCCAGTGAATGGAGGAAGATTCGTGGCGACTTTTTTGAATGACGTGATACGTGTGCGGCCCGATCGAGTTAATGGTACCAAATGGAAACGCAACTGGATAATATCTTTATTTTGCAAATAAATTTCCATTTCAATGAGATTTTCTGGCCGAGATTGACGTTCCGAAAAGACGATTCACTCAGAACCTCCAGCAAAATAGGGTGAGTCGACCTCTACACCAGTACAGGTCGCTGGTAGCCGTTGTTGGAATCACTTCGTCGTTTAAATTCTCACCTTGTTCTGTTGCTTTTCACTTCACTTCGGTAACAGTTGCAACTTGTGAAGTGAATTCTCTCTATCAATGGGAACCTGAACAAATCCGGAGGGATTCATTGCTGCTTAGATGGGTACAATTTACTGCATTAATCTTATGCTCGAGCTTATGGTTTGAGAAGAATCGTGGTGCCTTTGAGGTTTTTCTATATTTTCTCCTTGCTTTAGTGGATCAGAATACCTCTCGCTACCATTGCTTCTAGATTGACTCTTCCTAAGGTGTTCTACTACTAGAAATAAACGGGACCTTATATTGTGAAGCTTCTTATCTCAGTCACACCGTTCGATTGTTCCATTGAAAGCTTGTTGTTCAACTAAGCTGATTAGGATTAGAACGTTGCCTGAAAAAGGGCCAAAAACAGCTCGTTACAGTCAACAAACATTCATCATGATCCCATTTTATGTTGTAGTGGCTCCTTGTGGCGGGTTATACTGTAGGGGTATACAAATTACCAGTTATCAATAAATTTGGCAATTTGAATCCGAAAGCCATGACCAAAGAGTCGTGGAAAGGCGAGGGGGAACTGGGATTAGGTGGCGTAAGGGATAAAGAGCACGGTGCCTGGAAAGTACAAGTAAGGGTTCGAGTCCCGCCGTTGTCCGAAGTTTTGTCTATAACTCAAAAACATTGTGGTACTTCCTTATAGTGTACTGAGGCGAAATGACAGCAATTAATACCCCTCTTTAACCAAAAGCCAGAAACACCTTTCCTATGTCTAATAAGTTCCTCGTAAAATACTTAAGGGGCATCAATTTGGTTTGAATCGAAACAAAATTGCACTCTAAAAATAGGGGCGAAATCTCTGCATAATGCAGTTAAAGCTCTGAAATCTCATGGACTGCTAGAATTGTCGTTGCTATCGCTTGGGAAATTTGATAAAGTGCTGAAATTTGATAAAGTGCTCCTCAAATCTCTATTGGGGAGTGATACTCTATTTGATGGCCACTTCAAGAAATTCTTTGCTATTCTCCTGATCGTGACCTTTCAAACCTCTCCGAACCCCAGCAGTCCTAGTGTATGCAGTTCCTGAGTGGGCATGATCAACTGAGATTGACAAACTCACTCACAAGTACTTTATCAGTTTATAACTCGAGTGTCTCGCACCGAAGTTTATTGGCATGTTGCCATTGTTTTTTGAAATATCTTAGGGAATCAACAAGAGGTACAATATGATACAGTATAACATTTGCTAGACTTTTTTGCCTTTTGGCTTCTGCATATTTCATGATAAGAACATCTACCGCCAACTTAAATACAAAAGTTTTTATATGTTTGTAGATTTTTTTAACAAGGGGTGGAGGATAAAAGGGAAAAAGCCTTGGCGGTTGACCAATCCCGTTTGAAGGGTGCATCTCCGCACTAGACTTCCACTCAGAATCATTGTGGTCCATTGAATGGGTGTGTGGTCGATACAGTGATTTGCGGTGGCCACCCAGGCCACGGTGTATAAGCGAGTGTTTTAATCCTTCCAGACGGGACTGGTAGCAATTAACCCCAATGGAATGAAAGGCTCGGTGGTCCTAGGTAGATATCGATCCA